ACACACACACACACACACACACACACACACACACACACACACACACACACACACACACACACACACACACACACACACACACACACAATGAGCACTAGACTATCAGTAATACTGAATATAATGATGCATATATGGTGAACGTCACCCATCACAGGAGACCCTGCGGTGTGGAACCTCAGGCTGGGAACGGAGGAGAATCTGCTCAAGCTGGAGACACAGGAACATGTTTACTATACAGAACAGCACTCAGCAATGATTCATCACACGTCAGGATGCACTGATCTGTCTAGTGCTGGAGCTACCACTAGAGGGTGCTGTAGCACAGTCTATGTTGTTGTACAGCACATATCTGGATATTACCAGCTAGATATACATCTTGTTATTCCCATACCTCCACCCAGCTCTGCCTCCACCTAAAGTATATTTGATCTCAAATGATTTGTATGTCTCACTGTGTGGGGCTCACCACACCTTAGGTACATACAGATACTTGTTGCAGTAATGGATGGAGTAGCAGCCAGTAATAGTAGATTAAACAAGTGTTAAAACTCACAAGGAGAGCCAAGGTGAGAGAGGGTAACAGTTTAAGTCATTAAGGATCATGTTTTTTTAGCATGTACAGCTTTGACAGCTAAAGTCAAGCAGCTACAGTTAGCTGTGCTAGCTGTGAACTTTGCTCCAGTCACACCACTCATTCTGACTGTTGCTACACTGTTAGCACCTGTATTATGGCTAAGCTAACAGGTCAAATCATAAACATATCGTAATTTAAAAACACATTTATGATGCCTTTCTCTCATTGCTAACTAAGCTAAGCTAAATAACTAATAGCTTCACTCTTCCTAAAGTTTCATACATTACTTTGACCTCTAGATGTTAGCATTAATGCTTAAAACTCTCAGAAAACAACATCGTCATTTAGCTAATTGTAATCCTCACCTTCTTAGCTTCACAAAGCGCAGAGGAGCGGACAGCTTCAGGGCGACGCCGGCCATTTAAAGCCGGAAAAAGGGGTACAAAGTTCGGGCGTGAGGAGGAAGGGAAGAGTTAACTAGCTTATTAGCGTAGCCACCATGAAGCTGACCGGCAGCTAGTGTTTACACCACTGGCTCCGCCCACTTTCTCGTCTTCTGCTCAATTATTGGCTCAAGTAAAGCACCTGTGTCCAATGAAAGAAGGCTACGAAAACAAATGAACCAATTGGAGCAGACGCTTTACGAGCAAGTCCCGCCTCTGTGGCTGTGCCTGGCCAATCAGCGTTGAGAACACATTGCTAGAAAGCCAGCTGGACCTTTTAGTGCCTTTTATTGTTGTTTTTGACTTGTTCACCTGCAAAATAACAACGTAAAATAATGATAGGGTCATATTTGAATTCATTTAGACGTAAGCAATCCACCTAAAATACAAAACCGGTGAAAATTGAGCTTTTTGAACCCCTATATATAATTTGATTGGCTCCATAAATACATTTTCCCATTGACTTTTTTTGTTGTTGGTAGAAACAGCTAAATAAAAGCCCTTTAATAAATTAAAACGCTTACTAAAAAGCATTACAATTGTTGATTTGACAATCAATTGTTCAATTAACTTGGTGTATTTAACTGATTAAAAGTTTTTCTAGCTTATATTAGCACATTAGAGCTAAATATGACACATATTGTGATTATTTTCAGGTAGTTATTCTCCTGATTTGATGTTTTAAACAGTTTTAAACACATTTTTAAGATACATATGCACAACCCGGCCTTGTTTGTAACCTAATATAGTTTAAAACAGCTCAGAATACTCCTTTTTTCCTATGATTCTACATGAATTACCACATTAGTGAATATATTCAATGTTTAAAGTGAGGCAGCTTGGTCTATGTTAACTCCATAATAATCAAATGTAACCGATAAATAACAGGTGTTCTTGTATAATATGAATTATGAAGATCAGTGAAGAGATTTCAGCCTCTAACAATTCAACAGAAACAACAATGTTTAATGTTTTTCCAACAAAGCGGTGGTCTAACTCGTACCCTGTAAAACAACAACAATATTTTACATCAAAATTCACATTTAACAACAAAATGCTACACAAAACAAGATTTACAGACATTCATCGTGAGTCCTCAGTGTCTTTAGACGAAGCTGAGAGCAGAGGCGGTTAATAATTCATAATTCAGGCTCATATTATCAACATTAACTCACTTTTTGTATCATTTTTACCCTAAAATAAGATCTTAAATCAGGTCTCATGATCGTTTTGACTTCTCTAATGTCACACACTATTATTTACAGGTGATGATCATCTTCCCTAAGCATTTAGACGTGTAGTTTTATGCCAAAATGTGCTGAACAACCCAATAATATCTCTGTTTTTAATGTAATTATATGTTTTTGTCGTAGTAGTCAGGGTTTAGGGCAAGCAGGGCAAAGGTGGTGTGTTTCTACGGGTGCTAACATGCTAACGTGCTAACGTGCTAACGCGCTAAAAAGCCCCCAAAATAATGCTTTTAACATCAAACCACGTCCTGAGCTTCTTGCAGCGCTTTATATTTGCATATTTTGGGTCGTTGTAGAGTGTTTGCTCGTGTTGGCCACCATATGTTTCCATTTATTGTTTACGCACTTGACAAGAAGTCTAAAGTCATCTTTAACCACATTAGAGATTTATACCTGAACCTGAAGTCTCATCATTAACCGCTCCTCAGCTTCTGTACATTTGCACCACCAGCAGTGACAAAGCAGTTTGCATTAGTGCGCAGAATATTAAGATTTTGGCTCATAATCATCAAGTAAAGGGGAGATTATATACAACTAGTTAGTACACATAAAAGCAAACAAAGCTTAACTCAAGGTGTTGCAAGTCTTTACAGAAGGTGGGATTTAACGGGGAATCTCCTGTGGGAACATCTCAACGTTTGGCTAAATAACGTTTATGCTTACAGAGTGTATCAGTCCATCACGGTACACACACGCTCACAGAGCAATGGATTAAAACCTGTGCAGGAGGCGAGAGGACGGATCTGTGAGGGGTTTAAAAGCTGAGACGTCCGACGTGAACAAAAGGATATCATTTTCAGGATTTCATGGAATTAAATATCAGCAAACAGTTAAAAGAACGGAGCTACGGAAGAGGATTAGGGACATTTTGTTTTTAGATGTGAAATTCTGAACATAAATTCAGAAATCTGAGAAGCATTTATTTCTGAATTTATGGTGAAAATCTCAGAATTTAGAAATGTTTTCTCAGAAATTGTGACTTTTTTCTCAGATTTTTTTCTCTTAAATAAAACAATAATTCACTTCTGGTCGGAATCTAAAAATCCTACCCTCTTCCCTACACTGTATAAACACATGGTTTCTTTTTACCTAAAATGTAATGCATTTGGTTGTCAAAACAGACTTTACAGCATTTTGTGTAAACTTCATTAAGTGTTTCCACCTATAAATCATCCAGCAGTGTACACACAGATAATGTAGGTAAACACATCTGGTAATCATCTCAGAATAGCTTTTGAATAAGTGTTAAAAAAGTCTGTTGATGCAGATCCTCCTCTCCACCAGCAGGGGGGTGCTGCTGCGCCTGAAGAGTGATTACAGGAACAGTTGAATGCCACTCAGATCAGTGTTTTCTCTTAATTGCTCGAAGCTAATTAAAGGTTAGACTTCTTAATTTGGTTCCTGCTGCTGTCGTCTTGAAATCATCTGCACCTTTTCATCCAAGTGTTTTAGTCAGATGTGTGCCCGAGACGCTGAAAGGAGAAGTATGAAGGGATTTAATGTGTCTCTATTTTGTCCTCTTCACTCCAAAGAGACCAATATGGACCGAGTAAAATCTCCTCCTAACTAATCGCTCTTTCTGGTGACACATGAAGGCTGTTAATGCGCCAATAACGTAACGTGCGTCCATAACGTCCAATAACGTAACGTAAGGTCCAATAACGTAACGTAATGTCCATAAGGTCCAATACATAACGTCAAGTAAAGTCCAATAAACGTAACGTAACGTTCAATAAACG